CGCTCTGGTGGACCACCCCGCCTTGCTAGAGAAGTTCGCATCGCACTGGTATTCAATCAGATATCAACTTCATCTCTGAGCCCACAGCTATACTATCCTGTTTACCAGGTATGCCTATTGCCTGCCTATTGACCCCTTACAACGTGATCGTCAAAGTTAACGCCAAATGGAGCCATGAAGACCTTATCACTGCGAAGAAATACAGGGCCCTCTTTCATGGAGTCCCACTGCGTTCTGTTGAGTTCTTTTTGTTAGTAGAAATCCTGCTACCTGAACCCATCAATATCTCTCCTGCCGTCAACCCCATGAGGGAATTGCTACGCTGACGTACACTTGATTCACGGATACTGATTTAACATGATATGTGACTCCGTGGAAGAAAAGATGTATGATGGGACCAGGGTAACCGCTCCAAATCAGGGGTTCCTCACGGATTATGTTAAGCGCTGGTAATATACAGCCAGACTGTAGCTAACCAACCCACATGGAGAAAAGGGTTAATACTTTGGCAGCGGGGCAGAGAAGTTTACTACAGAAGTTTAACTAAGATTGGAAGTCTCTACCCAGCACGCAGAAGAAGTATGATTTTGCGATAGAGAGCCGGCATTTAGGTGGGAACTGCGAGCATATGGGCATTTTGGGTGTACCAAGTAGGCTTTTATTTGTCACAGGTCACCTGAACTGCCATGAAATATTCTCGGATATGTATATCGGCACAATGACCCCTGCTAAGATGCTCTGCTACACTCCGTGATTCTTCAAAGACCGGAGTGCCTCTAAAATTAGTTCATTCGATATCCTTCTACCCACGTAGCAACTAAAACATACCCATGCGTTAGATACCAACCAAGGTTTAAACCAGCAAAGCCACAATTCAGAGTGCTAGGCTAAATGATCGAGACCTGTGTATTGACTACTAAATTTGTGCCGTAACGTCTAGGGCGATCTTCAAGCATTGCGTACCTGCATTAGTTGACCAGTGGCGCAGATTACTACGTCCTATAGATATCACCACCTCTATATTGCTCTGCAAAGATGGATTTTACGATAAAGTTTTCTATACCCGTTTAGCCTTCTCTCCTGGTCCGCATAAAAACATACACCGGGTCCCACCAAGATACGGGGTCGCCACGTAAGAGTTCATACCGAAAAACTGATGAAGACCAATTTTGACGAATAAATCCCCGAATATTCGCCGACAAAGAAGTCCCACTCTTCAATCAAGCATAATCCAGCTCATTCGAGAGCCGACCCATTAGCCAGGAGCGATGTCTGCCTCTGAGGCTCATAAGCTGGTGCCTAGACGTGAACAGAAATTTTGTATGCACGATACATGACGCGGCCAAAGAAGGTAGAATGATCTTCTCACTATCCCGAGATATAAGGAAGCGTGATGAATGATTTCATAATCGACAGGCTTTTACGTACAGGGCGGATAAAGTTTTTAACGGCGCGGGGCGACAACAAACCCTGCCTAATTCAGACCCTGAAAATTAGTGTCTGATCTCCGACTGCCGTCATGAGTAACAAAGCAATGCCATGACGGAGTATGTAGAAAACCAATGAAGACGTTCCTTGTGCAAAGGAAGCTGCGCTTTGTGAATGAGAAGGCCTAGTGAATCATGCTCGTGGAAAGGGAGCCGAGAAGACCCTGCAGTAGACCTACTTTACATAAACCTTTTACCTTTTAGGTTTTAAGCTCAATGCCGCGACTAGCCGTAAGACCCTGCCCAATATCGGCCGCTGCAAAAATTGACCGCATCTCAGAACCTGCTCAAGAAGAAGCATCAATACTTCACTATCAATGTCTCGGCCGCAGGTCTGCTGCTCTGTCATATGACTAGGATGCTTCATCTTCCTACATGGCCTTCGCCTGGCCCAAGTGCAGGTACACCTACATTGGTCGGGGACAAGAAACTGCTAACGCTGGGGAAATCTACCCGAGATAAAGGCTTCGATCCACGACGTAGAATCTCTTAAATTCTCTATGGGACGTTTGAACGGGTGTAATGACGGCATTAATGTGAAAATAAGCTACAAGGCATCATCAACTCGTTTTCGGAATGCTCCGAGCATCATTCCAGATGCATCTGCAGATAATGGTGCCCTGGGCCCACCCAGCTTCCAGGTGTGACGAATCTGCCAAGATGCGTTCTAGCCTGTTCCAAATCGGAGCTTTCAACCGATCTGTCTATATTGTAGGCACTATCTATTAGGCTACCATCTTAATTTGTTCTGTGGCCCGTAGGACACGCGTTCTTGGCTCAACCACTACTCGGGGCAGGGAGAGGGAGGCGTTTGAATTCCATAGTCAACGGCATCCACTGGGAGCGTCTCCTGACCAGCTTCTCGCCTTGTTCCACCACAATGATGATCTCTTTTACACGGCAGACCAAAAGAGAGCTTGTCATGGTTAGATGCTGGTTATATAAAACCCGGGCTCCCTCCGACCACATCTATTGCCCAGAAGACATCGCTCGTTCATCCACTCTTTCTCCTACCCGCTTTAACGAGGTTACTTAATTCTATATCGGCCTGGACATCGTTTACACCATAATTCCATCTCTCATTCGTCGCAAGCCCATCATGCGTCGTGGTGCGATGATGGCGGGTTTGACCGCCACTGCTGCCCATGCAGCTTCTCTGGCTGATGTCTGTACCACTGCCAACGTCAAGGCTGCCCTGCCCAGCTCTGTGTACGGGCTCACCATGATTCCCTCCTCTGTAACCGCCTCCCCTGTCTACAACGCCTCTACCAGCGGCCAGGTTTTCTTCCCCGATGCCACCTACGATTACTGCGGCGTCACCTTCAACTACACCCACAATGGTCGCGGCGACACCGTGAAATTGCAGTACTGGCTCCCCGCCCCTGAGAGCTTCGAGAACCGCTTCCTGGCCACAGGTGGCATGGCGTACATGATCAGCGGCGGCTCTAGCTATCTTCCCGGTGGTGTCATGTATGGTGCTGTTGCCGGTACCACCGACGGTGGTTTTGGCGGCGAATTGGACACTGCTTTCCTCCTGGCCAATGGCACGATCAACTACGAGGCCCTATACTCCATGGGATATCACGGTATCGGCGAGCTGACCATCGTCGGCAAGGAGTTCACCAAAAATTTCTATAGCATGGGAGACGAGAAGCTGTACACCTACTACCAGGGTTGCTCCGAGGGTGGTCGTGAAGGCTGGAGTCAGGTTCAGAAGTACCCTGGCGTCTATGACGGTGTCATCCCTGGTGCCCCTGCCATTCGCTACGGCCAGCAGCAGGCCAACCATCTTTACTCTAACGTTGTTGAGAAGACCCTCGGATACTACCCCCCTCCATGTGAACTGGAGAAGATCGTCAATGCCACCATCGACGCTTGCGATTCTCTCGATGGCAAGGTCGACGGTGTTGTTGCCCGTACCGATCTCTGCCAGCTCCACTTCAACATCAACTCCACCATTGGCCTTCCCTACCATTGCGCTGCCAGCTCCAGTAGCGGAATCGGTCTTGGCTTTGGCAAGCGTGGCACTGACCCCGCCATCAACGGCACCGTCTCTGCCGAGGGTGTCGCAGTGGCTGCTGAAATCCTGAAGGGTTTGCATGACTCCAAGGGCCGCCGTGCCTACATCTCCTACCAGCCTACTGCCTCCTTCAGTGACGCCGAGACCTCTTATAACTCCGAGACTGGCGAGTATGAAATGAGCATTGCCTCTACCGGTGGTGAGTGGGTTGCAAAGTTCCTAGAGCTCCGCGATGCCGACAACCTGTCTACCCTCGACAATGTCACCTACGACACCCTCCGTGACTGGATGGAGTTGGGCTGGAAGCGCTACGAGGATGTCATGCAGACTACCTGGCCCGATCTGACTGAGTTTGAGAAGGCGGGTGGTAAGATCATCACTTTCCACGGTGAATCTGATCAGTCTATTCCTACCGGCTCTTCGGTCTACTTTTACAACTCCGTCCGCAATATCATGTACCCGGACATGTCCTACAACGCCAGTGTCGCGGCTATGGGTGACTGGTACCGCCTGTTCCTAGTCCCGGGTGCCTCTCACTGCGCAACCAATGATGTCCAGGCCAACGGCCCCTTCCCCCAGACCAACCTGGCTGTCATGATCAACTGGGTTGAGAAGGGTATCGTTCCTCACACCCTCAACGCCACCCACCTGGCGGGTGAGTGGGAGGGCCAAAACGCCCAGCTTTGCTCTTGGCCCCTTCGTCCTCTCTGGACCGAGAACGGCACCAAGTTCAACTGTGTCTACGACCAGGCCTCTCTTGACACCTGGGACTACACCTTCGACGCCTACAAGGTGCCCCTTTACTAAACAGCCAAATAAGGCTGCGCATCGCATTATTGAAGCATAATATCCATTCATGTATATTAGCTTAGTTTCATTTTATTATGTGTATACCTAGGATCTACAACGCCGGCCTCCATGGGCCATTTGCGATAGCATCACATTCGTTGAGCGTATCACTTGCTACCACTAGCGTGCCTCTATTTGCATCTGTGGATCTTCATGTAAATCAAGTAACACTGATCAGGAGACAAAACATATTTTCGGCCATAAAGAGCCTCGTGAAGCACATAGTTCATCTGAAGACTAATTGATGATAAATTCATTATTGCCTTATTACTAGCCATAGTCCCCTTCCTACCAACCTTGAGCCATGGAGAATCGCACCGTCATCACGAGGGAATGTACATCTATTTGCTTTGAGGTATCATTCTCAGGATGTTATACTACACAGAGAGATTTCTATGGTGATCCATATACATTACTCGGACTCCAGCCCCTTTGTAACGAGCCACCACCCCCACCCCTACCCCCAAGGACTAGAATCTTGTATCCTGCAACAGGATTTCTACATCAAAGCCCCTACTCCGGCCGCAGCAGCTAACACCAAGACCAATGCGTTGGAACCGAGCAAAGTATTAGCACCGGAAGTAGACGTTGCCGACGAAGCAGAGTTACTTCGAGTAGCTGTCGAAGTGGTGGTTGCCATGTTCGCAGTGTTTGTAGCGGACTTAGAAGAAGGCCACGTCAGTCAGATCTGGGTGTGCTACCAGACACTTGATATTTAACATACACTATTGGAGGCAGCTGTTGCAGTGGCTGCAGCGCCGGTAGCGGAAGAGGCACTAGGAGTGGCACTGTCTCCGCAAGCCTCGGCTGCAGACTTTACGTCGTCGCCGTAGTACTGCCAGATGTTGTATGTCAAAGCACACTTCAGGCAAGCACTGAGCTCGGACTTGTAGGTTGAATTGGAGCAGTAATCATCGCTGTCTTGGGAGATAAGAATGACGCCACCTGTGACATTTATCGGGTTAGCTGCATGAAGCGGTTGGACTGGGAATGGTCATAGTAAAGGAGCAAAGTCATCATGAGGGTAATCGAGTCATTCCATGAAAGAACACATCAATCGGTGCTGCATCATACATACCGCAATTCGCGTGACACTCATACAAGGGACTGCCGGGTTCGATCGATTCCCTCCTCACTATAGGGAAAGTGCCAGGAAAGCTCCATGAAAAGCCGGGAGTGACAAGAGCTGCAACAGCAGCGAGAACGAAAAGAAGTGACCGCATCTCTAGATCTGCAGCCGTGTCTGTATCGGGTAACGTGATAGAGAGAAGAGATGCTTCGCGTCCAATGAGCTTGTGACGTGGAATAGGTGTGCTCAGTGGGATCAGCACGGTTATATGCTCCAAAGAGTCCGTGTGCTGCACTGACTTCTATTCTGTAAGGCAGTAGATCGAGTCATAATTCGCTCGATTATTGCGCCGACGCCGGTAACCTTGAGAAAGTTGTCAGGCCACCGGACCATGTCCCGCCATATGCTTTTGTGACCCATGGTATACCTTTTCACAATGTCTATAGACTAGTAGATTTTTCTCGGGTTCATGCGGGTTCCCGGGCTGGCGACTGCCTTGAGTGCAGTGCAGACGGAGTCTGCAGTACAATAAGGAGGAGCTAAGGGTGGCGCTCGCCTGGACTCTAATAGATTAATCCCGCAAGAGTACACTGAATCCTGGACCAGTCAGCTGTCTGAACGGTGCAGGGCTTTTAGTAGTATGTCGCGAGGTTACATCATAGGGTCTACAAGCAGGACATTCGAGGGTCCGATTTTCGGACGTTCATCTCCTTCGGCTCGGTATGCCAGTCAAGGTAGGGAATTTCTGGTGGAGCTGGTCAGCCCGGGTAAATTATTCGAGTACGCCCCTGGTCAAAGCTTGTCATTATAATGAGTGTGGACCCCGATGAAATACTTATCTGATCCGAAGGCAATGACCTTGAATTGAGCTAAACCACATGCTTTCAGTCATCCCGGTCCCAGGATACCCACTCGGGGAAGGAATTTTTGGAACGCCAAGGATCCGTCGTTAGCTGGCATGGGTGCTCGGAGGTATTATACAAAGGGAGGAACTCGGTCCACTATTCCATGTGTCATGGCGAACAGGCCGACGTCTTGGCAGGAAAGAAAACGGCGTCTAGACAGATTCTGCTTTCAGGATGCAGACAGGCATATTTGGGCGATTCGGGACCCTCCAGTGCTCGGGGCCCACCGGGTACCCTTTCCAGGGAGCGGGACCTACGGTCCACTGTGCCCTTTTTACCTAATATCCATCGTTGACTCTTGGGGTCTGCTGGAATACGTACGATGTAGTTAAACTGTTTTGTCAGGAGAAAATAGCGAGAAGTAACGGGCTCCTAGAGGTTTGCTCTTCCAACCTGCAGCAAGCTGACGGAAAGTCCAATTGGGCCGCGGTGGAGCCCTTATCGATCTGATATGATCCGATGCCGGGAGCTGCCCTTTCCGACTGTCAATTCACTGGTGATTCAGATGCATCGTGACCGCAAAGGAGGGGAATTTGCGATTAGTGCCATTCCTTCCTTTCCAGAACCAGGCTAGTTCTTACTGATTGATAACCTAACTTACCGTTAGTGGATTGCCACCATTGGAAGCCCGACCCTGTCGGAACAGCTCGCCTAACGGCGGAACTTGGAACCGAATGCATGGTGACATGCTGCAGAAGAGAGGGGATGCCCATCACATGCCATTGGCGTTCCCGGACTTTTTCCATTGGAGATGGCTACCTCCATGACCCGGATCAGTAATGGATTGGTGCAATTGCATGGTGATCGAACCGGCGAAATAGCGAGCTTTCGGGCGTGATGTCTGTTATATAAGGGATGCAACGAACGGATCATCCTTCGAATTTCTCTTTTCAACCACGCCGATCCATCTTCAAACTCAAGAGAAAGCCATCAGTGCCTGGAAAACCCCTTTATTGGAACCTGCCTGTCTTCTCGGGAACAAAATGCCTTCCAAGAATATGTTCACTAGCTTGCTAGCAGCGGCTAGCCTGATGGCTTCCGGCGTGTATGCTGCTGAAGCCACCGATATGGGTGCTGCGGCATTCTTGTGGCCACCAGACAGAGCTTGGGGAGCCACCTGGGACACCACAGCCCCTTGCGGTTCATCGGCGGGAGTTACAAACCGAACCGAGTTTCCTCTCAGTAAGTTGTGAACTGTCTGGGTATGTTCACTTTACACATTGACTGATGTCTTTCTTCTTCCTCAGCAAATGGTGCAGTTTCTATAGTCCTTCAGGATGAATCATACTCCGTTAACCTCGCTATCTCCTTTGACAATGGTAAGTTTCCCGGGTTCGCCTAGTTTAAAACATCCTTAACATACAGTAGACCCCACCAAGAATGCCGATTTCACCACTGTTGTGGCTGGCAGCCGCTTTCCTGACGTCGAGCCTGGTCACGAATGTTATTCAGTGCCCAACCCACCATCCAACATCACTTCCGGCTCCAACGCTACTCTTCAGTTGAAATACATCTCCGACTTCGACAATGACGGTAACGAGACCTACTATGCATGTGCTGATATTACCTACGTACCGTATAGCTCATTCACCACCGACATCCCATGCTTCAATGTCTCAGAGGCCGACACGAGCAGCTCGTCTTCGTCGTCGTCCTCGTCCTCGTCAACCACATCGGCTAGCAGTTCCAGCAGCAGCAGCTCGGGAGGCTCGAACGGACTGTCTGGAGGCGACATTGCAGGAATCGTGGTAGGAACTGTGGCTGGTGCTGCGCTGATAGGTGCAGCCGCATTTTTCCTCGGTCGGTACTGGCAGAAGAGGGTGCAGCGCGAACATGAAGTCGCTATGAACATGATGAACCCGGCTCAGAAGACGTGGTCGGCTTCGACGGCTGGTCGCCAACAGCAGCAGGCATAGAGCGCCAGCATTCTTATGATAAAACGATAGGGATTATGTACATAATGTGGAGGACTCGTTCCCGGCCCTGTCCGTAATGAGCGGCATGAGGGGCTAAGGATTACCTCATAGAGTCGGAGGGACAACGAATGATACCTGTACGATTGATGTTGTATGTAAAGAGCAATTGATCGTTACATCAGCTTATCCCACAAAGTAGTGCGAGGGACGTGGATAATTGGCCAGGAGCATCTGTCTTGTAGCTGTATAGATGGGCTGAGAGGGGTAGCAACCTGCAACACGTCGCCAGCAGTAGCCAAGCCCTTTCGCAGAAACACGTGTCTACAGCTTTAGATATGTCTACTTACGACTGATCGGGTAGCTGCAGCATGATCTACATGATCAGCATAGAAAATAGTTTCAGTTGCTATTCATTAACTAAGTTGCTATTACCTAAGTGCGATTAAAAGCTTTAGTTCATTACACGGCGTCAAAATCAAGGGACAAAGAATACATAGAATCACTCTTCCCAAGTACTACTAAGAAGGCGTGGCAGGAAAGAGATGTTAGGACATGACCCTATCTACCAGTGATACCTTTTTTATTGCCTGAAAATGTAGTCACATATCTGATTGTGGGTTGCCTCGCACCCATCCTATTAGCCTCCGATTTGCCGTTGGTTGAAATTCACCAATGCACGGGACTCATGGGTCTGACATTGCGCGGCGCTACTAAGTAGAGATACTGGTACCCGCCAAACACCCAATAAGAAAATCTTTCAATCTCATGGAATACAGGGTCTCAACCCAGCTAGCTGAAAGGAAACAAATAAAGTTGGCGGATGGTGAGATCGCCAGCTGTCCAGTTCAGTAAGCCTAGCTGGAATGGGAAAGGTTTGGGGACATGTCAGCGCTAACCACTTTCTTGCCTATCGCAAGGCTGGGTGACAAGCTTCTCGGATGACAATCACCAGGGGTCCAGGTCTAGGTAACTGTGCCATATATAAATTACATCCAAAGCCAGTTTCTCCCGCCTTCATAGTCCATCGTTCACTTCTCGCCTCCTGCCAGAGTATCCCATTCCGTTCCCTAATGGCAACCCTTGTCTTCATCCCCGGCGCATGGATCACCCGCCAGCTGTACCAGCCCTTCCTCGATGCCTGTTCTGATGCTGGGTACCCCGTTCACTATGCGGCTTATCCATCCATTGATCCGGCCGATCCCACTGTCGCAGACTGCAAGACAGACACGGATGTGATCAGGGATACACTGCACAAATTGGTCGAAGAGGAGGGTAAAGATATCTTCCTGATGATGCACTCGTATGCTGGAATGCCTGGTGCAGCTGCCGCCCTCGGTTTGGCCAAGTCGCAGCGAGTGCAACAAGGCAAGCGTGGCGGCGTGATTGGAATGGTGTTCATCGCGGCCTTCCTGGTGCCGGAGGGAGTCAGCTGTGCAGGATTACAGGGAGGGAATCTTCCCCCGTGGATTCTATTGGACAAGGTGAGCTCTTCCAAGGAACATCTTCTCACGGAAGATACACAACGACTGACGTTAATACAGCCCACTGCCAACCTTAACGTACCCGCTGACGCTATCGCCAACTTTGCGGGAGATGTTGATCCGGCCCTTCTCAAGGACCTCAATGCGAAGGTCAAACCGCATGCAACTCTGGCATTTACCTCGCCCCAGCCGGCTCCTGCATGGGCGGAGGAAGCATTCCAAGGAGGCTTGGCTTTCATTGTCACCACGGGCGATCCTGCCGTTCCGAAAGAAGCACAGTATGGCATGATGGCTGCGACTCAGCAACAGTGGATCGTCAGGGAAATTGACAGCAGTCACTGTGCTCCATTTATTGATCGGATTGGGGAGACGGTTCGATTGATGGACGAGTGTGTGAAGGAATTTCAACGTTGAAGTGCATGCTAGGATCTTATTCTGTAACTCTCTAGCGATGATCGGCGTAGAAGCGTACAAAATCACAACAATTAAAAAAAAAAAAGAAAAGAAAACGAAAAACCAAAAACAACCTGGAATGAAACTGACCAATACGCCGACTGATGTTGCCCAAACTCTAGAGTCAATATAAAGTATAATCAAATCTACGCCTTCAACAATCCCCTTACAGTTTCCTCCACCTGTTGCAGCATCTGTGCCTTATCCTGACTCGCGTCTACCGTAAGCACATCGCCCCCCGACAGCGTTGGCTGCTCTAAAATATCCAGCTGGGAATCCACCATTGTTGAGCGCATATAATGATCTTCCTTAGCCAGCCGTGCAACCATACGCTCCTTCAATGTCTCCCGGTCGTCAACAGACAGGAGCAGAAAGGTGACTGTAACAGGGAAGTCTAACAGCTGAGACAGCCGTCGCAGCTCATCACGGTAGACAGTACGCAGTGCGGAGCAGGTAACAGCAACAGCCGGCGCAGTGGTTTGCTGCAGTCGATCCATCACTGCCCCTCGGATATGCGCCAACCAGTCCCACCGGTCGCGATCCTCCAGCGGAATCCCATTAACCATCTTCTCCCGCGCGGCCGGCGAATGCAGGTTGTCGCCTTCGATGACTGGAATCTCGAATCGCTGTGCCAGAGCTTGCGCAGCGGTGCTTTTGCCGCATCCGCATGGTCCGGTGAGGAAGATGACTTCGCGTGCTGGTGCTGCGGTGGTGGTTGCGCCCGTAGACGTGGACCAGCAGTGAGTGCGGAAGTATTGGACGAACCGGCTGACCAACTCGGGGGTGAGTCCGCCAGCCTCACGTAGAGCAGGCGCAGCAGCTACGGCCTGCTTGGTATCGTACAGCAGCACACGACTAGGCCTGTCATGGTCGTACTTGCTGGTGAAAAATTCGAGCAGCTTGATGGGCGGGTTGACATTGGGATCCTGGTTAGACTCGCGCAACCGCTGCAGCCATTCACGTCGAGGGAGCTCCTCAAACTCTAACCCAGCTTGTCGGAGTAGAGGAAGCAAGTCTCTTGTCCAGTGGCTCAACAGTGGGTTGGTCAGATTGACCACTTCGCCTGCCCTGGATGCCATGGTCAGGTCGATCACACTGGTCGCCACGACATCCACAGGCGTCCAGGAGAGGAGATCATCGAGCTGCGGCAGGGCGTGGATGGTTTCAGCTGTCTGGAACATCATAGGAATGGCCTCGGTAGCGTTCCAGATCCCATGGACGCTGTCGGCGATAATCTGGCCCACACGCAACACCCGAGCGGTGATTCCTGCTTCATGAGCGGCGCGGTTCACAATGTGCTCTGTCACCAGCTTGGATTGCGCGTATCCCATGCCCTGGGCGTAGGCTAGACTATCTGGCAGCGCCTCCGGGACCCAATTGCCTGGCGTCCGGGCGACGGTACTTACCGACGAGCAGAAGGCAAACCGGGCTGGTTGAGGTCCATGAACATCCAAGCAAAGGTTGAGAAGATGGCGGGTACCAGCGATGCAGCTGGACTCGAAGCTTTCTAGTGCCCAGTTGAAGTTGACTGACCAGGCGCAATGCATCACTGCTGTAATGGACTGCAACAATCTGTTATACACGCTTTCGTCCAAGCCTAAGCGTGCTGGATTGGCGAGGTCAGCGGGAAGAGAGATAATCTTGTGCTCAGTAGCTGGTGACAGAACAGACGACAGGCCACGAGCACGCAGTGATTGACGAACACGACGGAAGGCTGCTTCGCGGGACTCTGCCCGGACCAGGCAGTAAATGGTCTTGACATGATCCATCTGGGCCAACTGGGCAACGATATGGGCACCCAGAGATCCAGTAGCACCTGTCACGACGACATGCTCACCAGACTCTTCGCGAGGCACTGCAATATGACGCTTGAATTGGTTGCCATACTTTTCAATGAGATCCGCCATCCGCTCTTCGACTGGTCGCTGCTCTTTCGGCGCCTGTCCCAGCCGCAGGCGTGTTAACTCGTCCGCCATGGCCTGCACCGAAGGGTGCTCGAAAACAAAGTTCTGGGAGAGTTTATGACCTCCTATGTCTAGAGTCCGGAGTAGTGTCGTACGCAGACGGATTGACTGCAGACTATCCACGCCTAGACCGAAGATGTCGGTTGTCGCACCCAAGGTAGAAGGATCAATACCTGGTGCGACCTCTAGTAGCTGCTCACGGAGGAATGCTTCCAGCTCGCCCCCGTCAAGCACTTGGTCACCGCTGGCATCCTCGGCGTCGTAGATCTGGTCAATTTGTTCCTGATAATCGCGATAAAAGGCGGCGCGAATGACAGTGCCCTTGTCCGTTTTGCGATAGGGCGCATCCGCGGGCAGCACATGGATCATATCGCGGGAAAGGTAGGCATAAGCGGGCAATTCCGCATTGCAGCGCTCGATGGCTGGGAATACCGCCTCAATTAGCTGGTCATCTGTCTGGCACTTGCTACTTGTTGCTGGAATAAGAAACAATCCGAGACGCGGCTTGTTGGCCCCAAAGGCGATCGCTTCGGCAACGTTGGGGTCGTTACGCGCCACGCCCTCAATGATGAGTGGATTTGCCTTCTCGCCGTTCTCCAGAACCAGGGTGTCATCCAAGCGGGCATAGTAGCGCCACGCGTTGGGCTCAGTCGGGTGCTTCTCGAAGAGATCCTTGGTTGCATATGAGTTGTCGGGCCGGTTGCTGGCGACCTTGGAGGGCCAGCCTTCCAAGACGCACAGTTCGTAAATGCCAGACATCTGTTCCTCCCAGCGGAGGTATGGCAGCAGAGATGGGCCCGGGCGAACATAGTCCCAGTCCAGATCATCCCTCTCGCGGAAAGAAGTCATCAGTTGACCGGTCTCGGTGGTCCCGTAGTGGGAAACCAGACGCACTCCGTTTTGCACCAGCTTATCTCCAATGGGCTTCGGACAGGACGAGCCCCCAAACATGACCAGCTCCAAATGGGCCATCATGTGAAGGCCCTCGTCGGATTCGGACAATAGCTTCAGTGCATAAGGTACTGCATACAGGATCTCGATTTCTTTGTGGTCCTTGAGAGTTGCCAGTAGATGTGGGGCTGTCAGCGGCAGATTCGCATTGTAGAGGTAGATCAATTTCTGCGAGTATATGGCTCGGAAGAGACAGCTGATACCGTGCGCGTGAAATAGCGGCAGGGTAATGAATCCCCGGAGGCCGAAGTTGTTGGCGTAGTTCTTCAAGGCTCCGGAGTGCGTCTGATAGATGGGCTTCGGATGACCAGTGGAGCCACTTGAGTGGATGATCCAGCAGATATGTTTTGCCTCTATGCTGCCATCCAACTGCGCTGGCGACAAGGATAGGGTGTCTGCGCCGGGGAAATTGTAGTTCTCACTCGTCAATATCGGCTGCTGTACGATGGCCGTCCGCGAAGCCACCCTCTCCCCAACCGCCTGGAAGCTGGGATATGTGATGAGGAAGGCAGTCTTGGTGCTTTCGATCAGACTGACATAGGCATCTTCGGCAATGCGCGTCGATAGCAAGAGGACTGTGTGACCGAGACGGGAAATAGCCAGCAATGTGATCATGTACTCAAAGTCGGAGGGACCCAGCAATCCTACAACCTGTACAGGATCGTCTGAAGACCGTCGCTGTGGGATGACCTTTGCATAGTGGACCGACGCGGCTTCGACGAAGGTGTTCAACTGGTGGCAGAAGTAGTCAGTATCCCTTGTGACCCCAAAAGTTAGATGCGAATGCATGTTCACCTGCTTGGGAGTGTAGTATGTGTACTCGGTACCCGACGATGGGTAAGCGACAATAGGCTCGTTTCCATGAAGCCCTTTGGCTCGAGCCTGTATGAGGTGGTTGATTGTGTGAATGGTTTCCTCCGCAGGTTCCGCTTCAATCTCATCTACCGACGTTGCGGGTGACGAAGCACTCAGTCTATTTGGGGAGGAGAGCGACGAAGGAATGGGAGAGACTGCCACGGATGCCATCTTGAACACACAGTGGCGTAGGGGAGGGAGGAAGAGTGAGATGATGGATGTTGAGGAGAATCCCAAGTGGCATGGGGGATTTCTTGAAGTTTATGAAATGCCATTCACAGGCAAGTCTTATCACAACCCGCTCGTGTGTCTGGACTCCGCATCTACGGATTAGTCTACGGGTATTGACTCGATTGCTCATGGGAAGATGGAATGCAGATGATGCAGATGCCCTCCATGCCGCATTTCCGCCTGCATCCCCGCCCTTTTCCGCCATGGTTTTCTCCACCGGCGGAAAAGCCTCATGCGGGGAAGGAAAGAACTGGGGGCACCGGAAGCCCTGCTCTTCTTATCATTTGCGCTATGGATACGCTTTCTTCATCGTTTATGCGATGCATCGGATTATGTTTGGCGGAAATGCCCTTTTTAATGGAAGGGTACCTACAGACTCCATGTGACAGTTACATCACCGGCTGTGACTCGAGTCATTCCTACTAGCAATAACCAACGCCAAGGTAGAAGGCTCAGTAATAACGGTCACACCAGTAGACACCCATGTAATGAGAAAATTTGTTCTCTAATTACTGCCAGTAAACGTCGAAGATTCTAGCTCCGGATCATAATGTACAAACGAAACCAGCCGCGACAGCACCGCAAACTCCAGCTTCAACTTGACGGTATAGAAAAAGGTCTTCAACGAGGTTTGCAAGATAAACAAGTCCAGATATTCCAGTGTTAACAGCGAGATATCCATCAAGATAATCGCCGTGTTGATAGCCAGTAGCTGCTCCATGATATTGGTCCTCCGCTTGCTCCGATGCGGGTAGAGATAGAGCAGCCGGAACGTCTGCACGATGAAGATCGTCGAGATAATCATCTCCTGCACGAAGAACCCCGTGAGCTGCACCTTGGCCCAGGTGTTATAGACATATGCGAATCCCGCCCCGCCGTAGACGGCACCATAGGACAGGATGATCTGCGGAATCTGCAGGATGATGGCGTCGATGATGATCATGTAGAGAACGAAGCGGAGGATCTTTTGATTCGACAAGATCAGATGAAGTCGCGAATAGAGCACCACAGATTGCCCGGTCACCATAATAGCCCAGCCGAATGTTGATAGTGTCACTGGAATCCATAGCGGCGCCAGCTGGAAGTACTTCAGCAGCAGTCCGATCGCTTGCGGGATGATGCCGAGCCCGGTTGAGACGAGTAGACTCCAGAAGTACAGTCCCCCATAGACGTGAAATGTGAGGAATACCAGGATAATGAGTTCGATGGAGCTGTACAGAGCACATGCTAACAAGCTGGCTAACACCGCTTGGATAGCCAGGCTGTTGCCCGTATAACCCCCTGCGATGCCCTCAACGGGGGCCGAGTAATTGGCCATCTTCCCTGGGGAGCAACACCGTCATCCAGGCACATGCTGAAAAGCGATTCCCCCTGAAGGATATATGCCATGTGCTGATCGACATACGAACGAAGTCGGGGGGGGTGGAGGATGTTTCGGGCACTCGGCTACCTTGACCTCGTCTGACCTACGATCCATGGATCGTCTAACGTGGAACCCCGGTTCATTCGCCTGAGCGGCCAACCAGCCCCATTCAACGCAGGACTAAAATCTGGGGTTGGCACCGTTAGCCAGTCACTTAAGATGGGCGCGCTCGGCCAACCACTTCCAGAGATCTGACCGGCTGTTTAAGGTGCTGACGCGTGAGTGGCCCGATTGCATCCGGCTTCTCAAAGTTGCCAAAACCACTCAATTCTATTATTCTAAAATACATTGCGATCGGCTATACAGTAAACTTAACCTTATTACTGGGACCCGCGGCCAGTGCAGTTTGGCGTACCGCCTCCTCGCCGACCTCCTCAAAGATGTCGTAACCCCAACGGCCCGGGAAGTTGAAGCGTTTGTGGCGTTCCAGCGAGTTCAACTGTGCAAAGGCCCCCTCCGGTAACGCCCGGACTCGCAAGTTAGCTGCAATGCGAGCCGGGGTGACACTCTTGGATAGCACGACGGTGCCACGCTGCACGCCCCAGCTGGCCAGCAGTGGTCCGGGGTCCAAGTTAAGCTCGCCCGCCACGCGGTGAACCAGCGGGTCGTCGACAGTGCGCGGCTCCCCAGTCTGGTTGTTGCCCAGCGGAGAGTAGGCCTCGATGAGAATGCCTTTGCTCTGGCAGTATTGCAGCAGGTCCGGCTGTTGCAGGTAGGGATGGGCTTCGATCTGGTTGACGGCGGGCACGACGGAGACTTGGCCAAGCAGCTCCTCCAAGCGACGGATATTGAAGTTGGACACGCCAATGGCGCGTACCTTGCCCGTCGCTAGCAATTTCTCCATGGCGCGGTAGGTGGTGATGTAGTCAATGGCGGCCAAGTCGAACACTCCATCGTCGTTGAGGGGAAACCATTTGTCGTCAGCCTTGAAGGCGCTGTATAAGGGGTTAATGCTTAGTCTCCACCGGACGATCCTGGACGATCAAGTAGACAGTCACTTACCAGGGCCAGTGCATGAGATAGAGATCCAGGTAATCGAGGCCTAGATCTTGCAGGGACTTGTCGAGGGCTGGCTCCACGTCCTCCGGGGCGTGCTTGGTGTTCCACAGCTTGCCAGTAACGAAGATCTCTTCACGGGACACCCCGGACTTGCGAATGCCATTGCCGACTTCGGTCTCGTTGCGATAGATGGCGGCGCAATCAATGTGGCGGTAACCCTCCTTGAGGGCCACTTCGACGGCGTTTTCCACCTCAAGGGGCTTGGCTTGCCAGGTACCAAATCCCACGGCAGGGATTTTGGCGCCGGTGTTGAGGGTAAAATGCGAGGGTAGAGACATATTAGGCGCCACTTCTATTTCTCTATGTCTTAAACAGAGAGACAGAAATTGACCTAGGATGGTGCTGGTGATTCATATAGTCAAGCAGCACAACACAAGTGGGTCGGAAATCCGACAGCCAAACGGCGGATAAATCAAGACTTCGGAGAAGATGATCACTAGGGCCAACAAGATGACGATTTGACTCCATTCCCATGATCCACTCTTCATCTACTACCCCGCCAAACTCTCTCCTAGGCGAAAGAATAGCCGCAACGCAATGCCGTTCAGCAAGAAGCCCGCCTTCGATGACTTGCCGCTGGACAAGTCGGGTCCGCCCGGCAATGCATGGGGATTATTTGGACCCGACGACCAGTGTGGTATGTTGAATCTTCTTACCCCCGATCGAACGCGTGCCGCCGCCAGCGAAATCCGCGATGGAATTCGCATTTCCACCGACTGGCCACTGGATCGTATCACCACGCCCGCATTCAATCGGGTCCCATTTGCCCAGACCATCTCAAATATCGCCCCCACATCTGTCAACGATGACATCCTGCATTTCAACACCCAGTCCAGCTCGCAGTGGGACGGCCTACGGCATTTTGGCTACCAGGAACAGCGACTATACTTTAACGGCCGTACCCTTGACGACATCCTAACCACCAAAGTTAACGGTATTCATGGTGCGTATTACAGCGGGAAGATCGTCATCCTAGATGAGTTTGTTCTAATTGTTCTTGCAGCTTGGGTGGAAACTGGAGGCATCATCGGACGGGGAGTCTTGTTAGATTATGTCGCTTGGGCGGAGGCAAACCATGTCCCTGTGAAGCCTTTCACAAGCCAGTCAATCACAGTCGCCGTCCTGGAGGAAGTGGCCCAGGCCCAGGGCACAGAGTTGAAGCCGGGTGATATCTTGTTCATCCGGGCAGGCTGGGGACGGGGTTATGCCCAACTATCTCAAGATGAAATCTCTGCGATGGCCATCATCTCCACGCCCCCAGCGATCGGGATCGAGTCGTCAGAGGCCACACTCCGGTGGCTCTGGGAGAAGGAATTCGCTGCTGTCGCTAGTGACACCCCGAGCTTCGAGGCCTGGCCGTGCCAGGACTTCAAGTACTGGCTACATGAGTGGCTGCTGGCCGGTTGGGGACTTCCGATCGGGGAAATGTTCGATTTAGAGCAGCTGAGCGAGGAGTGTCGAAAGAGGCAGCGCTGGTCATTTTTCTTCACCAGCGTTCCATTAAAGGTGAGTTATACTGCCGACTGTGATCCGTTGTTTCCCAATTTATTGATAATCCGCCTCCTCGACTAGGTTCCCGGAGGAGTGGCTAGCCCGCCCAATGGAGTTGCCATTTTGTAGTGCTGAAAGATGTATATGTGGCCAGCTGGCCTGGCGTAGTACACTGCAACCTAGACTAGTCGTCACCCAGGTTTTCATGGTAGCCCTGTACGATGTCACACAGGGACGGGAGGTTGGAAGTAGATGGGCATGAAGAATCGTTGGGGAAGACAGCCCTGGAAGCTGACGAATCAAGCAACGGTACGTTGAATGGCCTCCAGTAGACAGAATGTCCGACTAGGAGATATTCAAATTCAAATTTGTAAAGATGATTATACCTGCATGTTGTTCTACATGGGAATCTGCAAAACCTTACCCACAACTAGAGGTTTGAAAACGGTACCATGCTATACGACGCTAGATCAACCCAAGCTCTATTATGGAGTGAGTGATTTGGGTCATGATACTTAAAACTTAACTTTGTCAATAATGTCCTCACACATGACATGAGTGGAGGGTATGGGATAGGCTACTGACATAGAAACGTACCCTTCACCTGACTTTGTCGGGAAAGGGTTTTATGTCCCAAGGTGATCTCGCAGCTTCGGGAAGCGGATATATATCGGAAATGTCGGAAAGACATGGAGATCGAGCAGTGTCAATATCATGGAGAGTTTTGGATTCCATGTGGCCGTCGAGTCGGGTGGCGAGTCGAGTTAGGTTAGCGACCGCTAGGGTGTTAACGGATGCGCGAAAATGAACAGCCCGAGTTCACAATGATACAACAGTACAATGTCCGACTGGGCCATTGATAAAAAGGTCTGGTACTTGGATGCATATAAAGTGCTGTGCTGGATGGAGAGATGATGAGATGGAGATGCAAAAGCTGATACATTCTGGACATCATCTGTCTAAGCACCGGCACAGTATTTAAGCATGATCGAAGCATATGAAACAGATCTGGGGAAGTTGACAGGCAACCCACACAATTCCGGGGTGGATCCAGCGCTGGTCTGATGCTGATGCCAATACGAGAAACCCGGAACAAGTGGATATCCGCTCCTTTCCCGCTCGTGGGGACCCCGCACTGACAGATGGGAGATAGTGTCATGGCATCTGGGGTACAGCAACCCGACATGCAGCCGGGGAGCATTATAAAACCAATGATGTTCTGATGTTCGAAGGACGTTGAATCCTCTTTCCTTCTCGTCTTCTTCTCGTAGAAATCTGCCCATCTTTACCCCTAAATCAAAATTCGTTCTTAGCCACCCCCTTGTGGCCTTGGCCCTTGATACTGTTCCGATATCGGCTGTTGTAGCCCTGGCAGTACATACCAACATCATCTGACAGCATGGCGGAGATTGACAACAAAGCATCTTCTCGCCATGTCGAGTCCACTGGGAAGCCATTGGACTTGGTGGATCAATCGTTCGAGGGGTTGACTCCGGAGGAAGAACGGGCCCTGGAAAAGCGCCGTAAGACTACACAGTGGTTCCATACTACTGGGGCAATCGTGTGATGCTGACTGCCGGCAGTGGTGCGCAAGATCGATCTGCATCTGATTTCTTCGCTGTTCCTACTATTTATTTTCAATATCCTGGACCGGTCCAACATCGCCAATGCCCGTCTGGGAGGGCTACAGGAAGACCTGGGCCTTTCTGACACACAATATCAAACTGCGGTAGCCATCATGGTATGCAAAGTGCCCAATCCTGGGACCTGAAACAGTGCTGATCGATGTTGGTGCACAGTTTGTCGGCTACCTGGTAGGCCAGGTGCCGAGTAACATTCTGTTGACCCGTTTGAAACCCTCCCGCTACATCCCAGCAGCCATATTCATCTGGGGAGGAATTTCGATCTGCATGGCTGCGGTACATGGTTACGCTGGCATTATATGCGTGCGCATATTCCTCGGGTTCGCCGAGTCACCTTTCTTTCCCGGGGCTTTGTAAGTACCCACTATCAATCCGAATGATCTTGTCTGTGAACGAACTCTAACGAGCGATACCGTCAGGTTGCTGATTAGTTCCTGGTACAAACCGTCCGAAATTGCGGTGCGAGTAGCCGTGGTGTATTGTGGTAACACCATCGCCAACGGGTTTGGCAGCATGTTTGCCGCGGGCGTCATGAGTGGATTAAACGGCAAAGGCGGGCTGGAAGGCTGGAGGTGGGTGATCTCCTGGCATACTCTGGGAGTGTATAGCTAACCAGTGCGCGAACAGATGGCTATTTATCATTGAAGGAGCTGGCACAATGGTGGCCGGCCTTCTCGCTGTCGCGCTTCTCCCAGACTTTCCTCGTTCCGGGCAGCGGAAGTGGCTATCGGAACAGGAGCAGCGCTTTTCCGAATGGCGTCTTGCCCGCGCCGCAAATGATGAGGTCGATGAGAATGGTTCCATCCGCGAGGGCTTGCGGGATGCATTATTAGATCCCAAGGCGTGGATGTTGATCCTGATCCAGGTTTGCCAGCTCACATCTCAAAGCTGGACCTACTTCTTCCCTGTGAGTACCAATTATCATGTTTTCCGCTACTTTGGTTCTGACTCATGTGCTATTAGACCATCGTCAAAACACTGGGATTTAGCAACATCATCACGCTGCTGATCACGGCCCCGGTGTACGTCTTTGGCTTCATCACCGCTCTTGGTAATTCCTTCATTGCGAACCGAACGAGCCAGCGCGCAGTTCTTATCGCGTGGCCTCTAATCATAGACATCGTGGGAAACGTCATGGTCATATCGTCTCGAGCCACTGCAGTCAGATACATCGGCATGTTCTTAATGTGCGCTGGTTCATATTCCGCTTTCAACGTCGTTCAAGCCTGGATTGCCAGTACGATCCCGCGGACACGCACCAAGCGGGCCATTGTGTACGCGTTGGTAAACCTCTTCGGTAACTCGTCCAATATATACGGCTCGTACTTCTTTCCCACATCCGACTCGCCACAGTACCGGCCTGGTGGTATCACCCTTTCAGCGTTTGCTGCTGCCGGAATCGTCTTGACTGGGTTGTTGGCATTGTATCTCCATACGCTCAATGTGAAGGCACAAAAGGCAGAGGAGGAGGACGGGCAGATTCGTTATAAGTATATCTGGTAATTGGGCGCTGAGCAGGTGCTGAGTGCCGGGGTGGAATAAATGGAAACTTACCAACTTGCGAGACTTCCCAAGATTACTGACTGGGCAAGCCGGTCCTGCTGTAGCTCTGTCGTAGACACCCTACCTGGATATATGGTGCAAGAGCAACAATCCGGTCGGATTACCAGTAAATATGTGAATAGATCTACTAATTGAGGTTCTCGCGTCCCAGTCACATTCGAATTCCGCATCAGCCGGGGTATGCTGGGTTAATTAGCACCTACTAGGCGTTCTTGTCGACTACGAGAAGAATGCTTACAGATAGGCAGACTTTCTAGCTGTGGCCAGAAATCAAGCACCACGTTTTCGCCCATGATGAAAGTGTCCAAGAGGGACTGTGTCCTGGGATCGAGTAGCCCTGGATCAATAGCGGGGTCCGGTCCAGAGAATATGGTCGGCAATATATTAGGGTCAGGGTCATAATCCCTCACCGCGGTGCCTTCTGCCTGCTGCTCACGGCGACCCATCTCAGCTCTATGTTCGGTCGGACGAGGGCTCCGTTCGGAAACTGGATGAGATAGCTCATTCGGCTCGGTGGCTTGAGCGTCGCCAGTGTCCATCGGGGAGACGAGGCGGGCCAGCTCGTGTCGCAAACCCTGCAAGATGACACTGTATTTCCAAGAAGGGGCGTTGCGAGCTGTTGCGTCGGCGAGGTGTGTCACTGCCGTCTCGGACAGTCTGTAGAGCGTGGGTTCATCCAAATCTGCATGCAAGGTGTGTTCCGGGCTCCGGACAAAGTCGAGACCAGCAGAAGGCAGACGGTTGCGTCTGACCTGGATCAGGTATAGATAGATGATTGATAAAGCATTGAAAGCAATGTACTGTGAGTACCAAAATGCTGGGAACAATTCATCCTCACGCACAAAGCTAAGTATCAATTCTATGGCTTCTCGCGCTGCGGTAAGACAAAGATGCAGATGGTATCGGTAACTGCTTCGGTGTTCAGGCCACATTTGCCCATAATCCAATAATAGGAGAGGCCGCGTGATGAACATCAATGCATGATGACGAGCCAGCTGCAGAACTGTCAACTGGCGCCGAAACACCGGAACCAAACTACTGGGTTGGATGACCCCTGAGAGAAAAGGAGGCAGTTCCGCTTGCCATTCCGCGACCTTGCCACACAGGCCTCGAATGGTCTCAATCTCCGTCCGATCGGAGAGGCCTGATAGAACGTAAGGTTCCTTGGCCGCCTGGGTGAGAATCTGTGCCAAAGTCGCATGAAAGACTGGCGCATCCATCACACAGTCACGTCTCGACAAACGCCTTTCCCGCGTCGTTAGGTCTTCGTCATTGACGCGCGTAGGAAGATCTTCGTCCAAGTCTTCATCATGCCACAGTCGCGGTCGACCAAGGATCACACTGAGATACTTGTCCAGAGTGTAAGAGCACCATACAAGGCGCCGTTGACACTCCTGCTTCACCAGATCCTCCTCTTCTTCATGGTGCCTCCTCGCCCATCGATTGTGCAAACCAAGGGCCATCATCAGCTGGACTGTTGTGCCAAACACGAACCACGCCTTCTGGGCTCGAGAGGAGCTCAGCAGATAAAGCACCATCAAAAAACGAGCTTGCACCGAGGCCAGAGTAGGGGCACCCGTCTCGAGCGACAGCAGATGCTCTGCCTGCGTGTAGTAAAGCTCGCTGCTGCGCCAGCCATCCTCGTCGGCATCTCTCATTCGCCCGTCCTCATCAACGCGGAACATGGCTGCAGTACTAAGGAGTAAGAGCAAGACGGCTTGGGATGCTACATCGAGCTGGCTGCCGATCCGGTTGCCCTCTGAATTCTCCTGGTACAAGCGCTGGACCAGGGTGTGAAGCGTAGGTTGATGAAGCACGCGATATGTCGGTGCTGCAAACTCGAAATATCGGCGGATCAAGCTTTTGGCTTTGGCCTGGCTTGGCCAGACAAAATCTGATAACTGAACCTCGGGAACTACACGATCACCGTAGGAGAAGATGGAAACGGTTGCTGAGGCATCGGGATCCTGTGCCGGGGCAATAGGCTTGGAGGGACTGGCATGCAAGTCCTCCACGACCCTGCCCAGAAATGAATGTGCTGAGCTCGGACCCCAGTACTGACCGGTCCCGTCTACTGAGCCTCGTCGAACAGATGCATCGAGGATAGAAGACTCGAGGAGTGTACCTGGCCCCGATGCAGGGCTGCTCTGCAGGCCTGGCTGGGAATGCTCGGTAACTGAGCGAAGGACAGAGGGAGACTGCAGGGGCTGGATCACACCTGGAGCCGGATCTGGATTGCTGCGTGAGCTGCCGTGCTCCCGCAGAGGGCGATGGTTCTTGGGACGCGATGATGAGGGAGGAGGGCTGAGCGCCACACCCCGATTGTAGGCGGAGTCGTAGGTGCACGCCAAGTGACGGCGGGAGCAGGGACCACAGGGGATATTGCCCGTACAAGCCTTCTTTTTGGTCTTGCAGGCATCGCAGGCGCGGGTCACCTTTCGGATCTTTCTCGCGCGCGTGGCGGGGGAGGATGCCTCCTCGCTCGCCGTCATTTCCGCTTGCTGTTGGAGAAGCTCCGCACACAGCTTTAACGGGCGGATATAAGTAGATAGTCAATCTCAGAACCCGCGCATATGCTCCTTCGAATCGGATAGTCGGATGCTGCAGCTCATCTGCTTAGCCTGTAGGATGGTCCAGGATGGTCCAGGTAGACTGACCGGCTATTACTGGGAGGAAAACCCGGTTTTCCGATCAAATCCGTCGCTGGTTTCCTTTTTCCGCCGCCATTTTCCGCTCTCAGCTGACTGGCAGCTGACTCATCCCGGTAACGTTAACTAACGTAATCCACGGTTAGGTGGCCCACTACGGTTAGGTGGCCCATCCCATCAAAAACACCATCTCAAATTCCTATCTGAAGCCATTCAACCATT